ATAATGAGGGTTAAACGACAGGATCACATAAACAATGAACGTTCTTTAGCGGATACTGGTGTCCAACAAAAATTCAGGGATTAAGAAAAGCAGATTGAACGTGATAAACAAACTGCTGGAGTATATGACATTTACTCCAGCCTATGAGATTCTCGCTTAGGAATCGAAATACGACAGACTTCGACCAAGAGGAAGCATTGAGTATTCAGGAATGTGATGAAGGCAGATCTAGTTTAAGAGAGAAACGTTTTTTTATGTGATGTAATAACCGATGCCTCATATAAAAGCTGTTGGAAAGCTCTCAATGCAATTAGCATCGTAATCCAGATACCTTCTTCTTCTGCAAACAACTGAAGATGGTTATCTGAACGAACAGATTAATTGTATGCATAATGTTTTACTCTTATTTGCTTTCACGTTTTTGTGAATCTCTCAACTGTATTACAGCTGATTGGAAGACTTTGGTAAGGCGGGCCAAGGCTCTGGGCTGATTTCTAGTCGAAGGAGCTTAAGTAGGAAAATCATTGGGGGATGTACTGTAGGAAGATTTCAGTCAGCCAGCTGCTGATGCGACGTAAAGTCAAATACCGTATTAGACATGATATTCATGTATTTTGTCAAATTTAGATTTCAAAGCTAGGCTAACAAAAGAAGCTAATATTTCGTTCGTTGTCAAGTTAGGGAAATAGGTCAAGGGTACATATTGCACTAAGGATCAAAAGCATGGCTTAGTGAGAGATAGCACGATTTTTAATGATATATGAACCAGTTTCAGCCACAGAAGCAACTAGGCGACTTGTTATACTTTCTGAGAATCGGCGGCGGAGTGCTTTTCTTACAGTATTCTCTCCTCCAGCATAATTCTGAGGTATTTAACTGCTGATTTTCCAGTAAACTTACAACAATCGGTATCGCTTTCTAAACTTTGAGAAACTTCATTTGGTATTTGACAGGAGACATGCCGAACACACTGATTCAACTTTTCACCGAAGTTTCAAGCCGACTGCAAACTAATTACTGAACCTCTCAGAACCTGAAGTTGATGGTGCTTTCTCTGATGTCCGTTTTTTGTCATCAGTGAAGAGTGCTCTGTTTTAAAGGTTGAATCTATAGCCATATCGCAAAGTTTCCTTTTCCCTTCCTACAGAACGATGCTCATTTATCGACCTCGAAAGGAAGAAGGATCACTGACCTCAGCAGAGGCTTGAACTCACGACCTATCGGTTCTGAGTTCGACCCTCTACCGACTGAGCAACCACGATGTGAAGCAATGCGTGGTAAATTCTTTTCTCAAGGGAATTCGTAAATAAGTCAAAGATTACGCTCAACCGGAATGGAATCCGATACCTCTGGAGTTCGAAGCAGACTTCTTAAACAACCGTGCAATACGCCATGCTCTATATGTTCATAATTCTGGACGATTCTGATGAAGTGTTGAAATTTGAAAAATTTCGAGATCATATTTACTGGCATCTCAACGCTTGGGCACGCCGAATAGAATATCTGGAGTAGGCACCTAGCATCGCAAGAAGACGCATGCGGCAATATATGCATAATGCACATTAGTTGAATATCATGCAAATTAATAATCAACATGAATAGTACACGTGTTGCTTTATAAGAAAATTGATGATGAACATATTTTTTACGTGTCTGGTTCAT